GCCTGCGTGGCAACGGCGGATGGTGGGGAGAAGTACGTGCTGCAAACTGGTCGGTGTCTGCCGATCCCGTAGCCGGGGGTGGTTGTGTGGGTGGCAATGTGCTGACGGAGGGGGTGTTGGCTGTGGTTGTTGGTTGTTGTTGGGAAGTCATTGTCGGTGTCTGCGGGGCAATGTGTGTGGCATCGGTAGTGGGAACACTGGTGGGGTGAAGTTGTGAAGCTTGTTGGAGTGTTGTTGGCGGCGGTGTGTGGGGTTGTTGAGCGGGTTGTGTGGAAGGAATGTTGCAAGGTGCAGGTTGGGGTTGTGGAGCAGGTGGTGTAAAAGGAATGTTGTATGTGGTAGGCTGGGTCTGATGCGGTGTCAGAGTTGAAGGGCTCGTGGGAAAAACTGCTGGATGGGTAGGCAATAGAGCAGGGTTCAGAAAAGTGGGAGGGTGTTGTGACATGAATTGCTGGGGTGGAGGTTGTTGTGGCATCTGAGGTTGTGGTGTGCTGAGATGTGTAAATACCGTCGGATGCTGTGGAATAGGAGCGGTGTGTCCACACGGCATCATGGGGAAGCTGTGCGTCTGCTCAACAGGAATCGTAGTGGGTTGTGTCGGCAGTGTGGGCTGCTGAGTGGCAGCAATGCCAGTTGGCATCATTGCTGGGTAGCCTGGTGACTGCGGTACCCAGGTGTTCGGGTGAAATTGATTCAGCACCGGTCGGGCTGTTGGTGCATATGGTGTTGCTGGTGGCTGCGCGGCAAAATAATCCGGCCACATAGCTGCAACGAAGTGGGTGAAACAAACACAGTTGCACAAGCAAAGTGCATGCTGTCCTGGTTGTCCCTGCTGGACTGATTTGAGAGGTCGTAGACGGAGAGAAGGAAGAGGGCCGAGTACTCTCCGAAGAGAGCGCTGCTTCACTTGCTGTAGACATCTTTACCACGTCTGCACTCATGTCAGATGCACATGCCCTTGCAGTCCCTGAGGAATAAAGAAGCGGTAAAATACGGGGCAGACTAGAGAGGTAGCACCTGCTCACTAGACGCACTTTACTGCTTTAGCCGTCCCTTACTGCACCTGCACTCATGTCAGACTCACATGCGAGCATCAGAGAGAGAGAGATAAAGTAGCAT